GCAAATGTTCTGGCCTGATGATGATTTGCTGAAAACATATGTTTGCCAACTTCACTTCTCAACTTAAGAATGGGAATATTTGCAGAAATTACACATTAGCCGATACCGCCTGGTGATACCTTATCCCGGGTTTCAATTAACTGTGGCCAGGGCCCGGATTATTTAGTCCTTGAACGTTATTAACTCTTACGCCCTACTAGTGAGGCACGAACACATTGTCCTATCGGTTGGGATCGGAGAGCTTGATTACTGTTCGAGGGTTTTACAGGTCAGGTTACGGAGCGGGTTCGCCTCAGTCAAGAGCCCTAAAGAGCCTTCTTCGAATCCTGGATTATAAAAGTCCGGAATTCAATATGGTTGACAGATGGCGGCAAAAAAAGCAGATTTCCCCTCCCCGTCTCCTTTTTTTGTCAGAAATTTCGCTATGCCTATAATATGCTGGCCGCTAAGTGAGTACCGCGAGACTGAGTTCCGAGGCGCAGCACATGAGCACCCATACACCTTTGTTAATATTCCTGATCGAAACCGACTAGACAAGGAGCCCATGGTGCAGTGGGTTGGAGTGCGGGACGCTCAAACAAGAGGTCGCTGGTTCGAACCCCGGGCGGGGATTGGGTATGACTGATTGATTGCAACTAATGAGCCAGAGGTGGCCCTTTAAATCTTTCGTTTCGCTGCTGGCTACGCTACAGCTTACACGAGAAAGCCATAAAGACCACATTAAGAAGGATCCATTGCCGTCTGACTGTCAGTCCGCCACTCAGCCACTCCACACAACTAGACACACTGGACTGACTGCGTGGTCCGGTTCATCTCGCCAACTGGAAACTCGGATTTTAGCGCACCTTGATATCTTCAAGTGTGTCAGATTGTTCATACTGAGGAAAGAAATGTGCTGAGTGTCGACCTCACTCTCCTCCACCGCAAGCATAAAGCCACTGTCTAGCTGATCAGTGGGCACAGTAGCTGACAGGCCGGCAAACTTCTCTGTGCGCTCTACAGCACGATCTGGCCGCCTTGACGCTGCAGCAGATCAATTTTTAAACCAGAACTCGACAGGCCTGGTGAGCTGATAGGGTGTGAATATCGAGCAGTTAGCAAAGCTTGTAGACACTAAGAAGACAACTAAAAATTAAAACAACCAAATTTTTGAAGGTCAGTGGTTTGTGTTCATCTTCAACAACTGGTCTTAGCTGTGGAAATCCGCTACCGCAGATAATCTCTGTTAAACGTTTTCTGATTACGACGTATTTTTTCGGCACAGACATCGAAAAGGGTCATTAGAAGGAAAGATTTAGTGAATGACTGACATGCCGACACCTCGCTGTAACTTTGCAATCGTGTAAAACATCCGACAGTAATCAAACCACAACTGAGTGTTTCTTTCTGGCTGAGGTCCCATTCACTAGGAACTACATATACCTGTATCTACACCTCGTGTAGCACTGAAGCAAGGCATTTTGATTAACCATATATGGCCTTGTTTTTTTTCCACTTTCCTTTTCATCAGCTAAGGTTAATTTGCCTCTACCTCTTCGATCTCGGTTTGACTGAATTCGAGCTGAGCAAGTACTCTGCCAGTATCAGGTGCGCTGGTGCTCTCTACCTCGGTCGACGCCTCCTGCTGGACTCCGGCGACTTCACAGACAGTAGTCCATCGCACCTATCCTCCCCCTTGTCTGACCTGGAGTACCGAGAGACCATAAAGAGGCCACCGCTTTGGAGTTTGAAACAGGCAGAACTGACGGGTCACCTGGAGGATCAGAGGCTGCGGCGGGTGGCTTCAATCTACGCAACTGCCCTAGCAAGACTACAGCGACAGTTTGCTGTCTCGCCCACAGGAGACGCCGCCCGGTTGACAGTCAACGTGCCTGAGGTAGAGATGCTAATTCTATACCGTATGGACACTACCTATTCAGTTTGTTTTATTTTTGAGGGTAATAGGCAATACATTTGAAAGCCGTAAACAATGGCTTTGAGAACCCCATGAGGAAGTCTTCGGTGATATTCTCGTATATCTATCTACTTAGATTTGTATAATTATACATCTACATACAATATTTAATTAAGTAGGCGTGATTATACTTAGTACAGCACTTAAAAACCCTGAAATATTTAGCGTCATATGCTTAGTTTTGATTTTATTGGTTTTAGTTTTAGTTTATTGTTTACTTTTTGGTTTAATTTTAGTTACAGATTTAGTAAGCTTGATTTTTCATTCAATTCAATTTGTTAAGCAACATACGGTTGCTTGTCACCTAGAATATCTCTCCAAATGCCTGAGAAGTTATTGCGACTTTTGAAAAATGGCGAAAAGCGTATCTTTCCTCGACTTATTATAACCTCTAGATTTCGATGTAAAGTTTACGTTGGTTTGTAGCCTATTTACAGATACTTTTGATAAGGATCTACAATGGGCTCCCCACATTGCACACGAAGCGCGCTCCACTCCAGTACGGGCACCAGGGTTTAGGGGGTAGAATGGGTGGGGCATATCGGGAAACAACTCAGTGCGCAATAATAATGTGAATTAATGACGTTACGCAGGCGAGGACGCTGGGGTACATTTGGATATAATCGCTAACCCCTACTAGACCAACGGCGAGTGCATGTACGTAGAGGGGTGTTCGCTGACCGTAAACGAGGTCACTGAGGTACATTTTAAAATAGTATCACTAACCCCAACTAGAATGACGGCGAACGAGTGAAAAAGTTGGAAGATAGTGAAACTTCACCTTACTTAAAATTTGTAAGTAAGCCGTTATTCCAATTGTTAATTCGAAAAGCCATTTAACTTAATAAACTAACTTAAGTGGTTATTGTACATGGTGGCCTTCAGTTCAACATCATTATCAAATTCCTACTGGACCCACTGCCGGCGTGCGAAAAGTTGGGAGATTGTGGAAAATTCAACGTACTTAAAATTTGAAAGTACGAGGTTAGTAGACAGGTTCACCCTTTTTGAACGCCTCCATAGATCTCTGTCATACTTTTTGCGTATGGTGCTGTGATTTACCATACTAACTGCTCAGGCACTAGCTAACAGGTCTATACACGTGGTTCACCGGTATTCTGCCGTTGCTTGACGCAGCTTCGAGGGGTCCGGCTCATTAGCGGATCCTCGGACTTTGTAGCCTACAGACTGTGTCTGAAAATGTAGTACTGATTAACTGGAAGTGGGTTTTCATATAGTGTGATTTGGTAACCGAGTAAAGTTTAGCTAGAGTATGCCTGCCGCCTTTTATTAAAAATTTTGTGCTTTCGGCGGTACATATGACCACTTGTGTGCGCAATCTTCAAACACTTGAGATGCGATTTTTAGATTTAATGATATAGGTCTCATCAGCTTTTAGGTGGACAGGATCATGTGTGAGATTTTTGGTCTATAAGTAGGAGGGCCGTTTTTGCTATGGCTATGGGACATGCTCGCCACGTTGCTGCGTCTAGAGCCTTCGAATGCAGTCGCATAGCACAACGAAATTATGCAGAAGGAATATTGATAGGGGGTAAAAATACTGTGGTGGTCATTTGTGGCATAGTAAACTGCCGGCCTTATCTTACATCAGGTTGATATGATCCGAGATTCGAACTCCAGATTCCTAGGCCACCAAGTGTTTTTAATTCCAAATTTTGGCCATTGAGTCATGGGTGCATGTTACTGTCGAGTGCGATCGAGAATATAAATCATGATGGAAGGTGCGCCTACCGATGAGATTACGAATTATTCTCGTCCCGTTACGCCTTCATTTTTAACCTCGAGCCCTCGCAGGTGTTCGCAGAATAGATCACCCAGTCAGTAAGCTTATTTTTAAGCGTTTCGGGATTGAACGCCTACTTTTTAGGAAGCCCCTAATCAAATATATAGTGGAACTCATGTGCACACTTCACTTTATCCACAGTTGTTACACTCCAATAATAAAAACGAGCGTTTTCAGCGAGTTATTTTTTGTAGTGACGATTCATTCATGGGTTGCGGGACCCATTTTCCCTGTTTCACCTTCCACTTTGTTTTAACTTTCCTTCGTTACTAATTATCCTTAGTGACTATGACCTATGACCTTTCTATACAAATTCAATTTCGTCATTTTCTCAATCGTAAACCTTTAACGCACTGAGTGGATGCAACTGATGAATACTCATGAAATTTTATGGATCCATTAAATTTAGCATTTATTACTATTTTTAAGTTCTCACCGGGAAAATTTTGCTTCAAAATGCTTAAGTCACAAAGGGACATCAAAAAGTTTTTTAAGTGATTAATTGTATGTGTTTAACTGTACTGTGTTTTGTCTGAGTATTATTATCTGTGGGCCGCGTAAGTTGAGATTCTTTCGCTCATATTGGTAACTTCTCCCTCTTTTTTTTTTAGGCTGCCTTCATCAAGTACAGCAACCGGAACTATGGGCGGGTAGCGCGACTGTCCCAGCTAATGAACTTTCGGTACTCTAGACTCCTTGAAGAATGGAGTCCGGACTGCTAGTACCTACCATGGACCGCCTTTACCTTCTTTTTTATGTTCTTTGATATTTTTTAATTTTTTTATTTTTGTCATCACGCAACGAGCACTACTGTACAATCACTGATTTCATTTAACGAGAACTACCCACCATCGCGACGCCTGCAACCCTTCGCAAACTTTTATGCATAACTTTCCAATTTGCATGTGTAAGCACGGCTTACTCATTTTGACTCAGTACATTCACGCATTTATTTTACTTTTATAAAACCTGATTCATTTTCACCGACGACCCACATATGGACCAACCGGAGTCCTAGATCGCCTTTATGGGTGCTCAGACACCAGACATCAGTTGGCTCCGGAATATTCGGAGGAGATTTTCATGTGCACGACAAAATCACAAAATTGACAGACTTACCCAAGTGCAAGATATCCGAACCTTCCTTCTGCGCGTTCCGTTAACTTCTCCTTTGTGTCATTGCGATCAGTTCCAGTAAACTAAACCCTCTGTTATCACTACTTTATCGACTTACCAACAAAGTACATCATCAGCCACCTAATGGTTCTGTTGGCTACTGTGAACGAACTACCTGGGATTGAAATGTCACGAAGAGTAAACGGACCGGGGGTAAAATATATTCACTAAATCCAGTGAATGTAGCAGGCTGCCCTCGTTCTGCCCATCTGCTTCAGCCACTACTTCGCGAGTATTCTTCGAGTGGTAACGCAGTAGACTAACCAGCTGATGAGAATGTCTGCCCTTGCTCCTCTTCAGGAAAAATTATTCAAGTTTGATCGTCAGCCTTTGAATCGTTTTAATTTCGTCAGCTGCCATCTATTTGACTGGGAAATATTTAAAAAGTGTCGGATATAGGAGTTTTCTCGTAAAATGTCTTTGGACATTTTCAATTTATGAACGGCTAGATTTCTTCATTAGACCAAAGGAAGTGCAGTGGTATTCAAGAGTGGGAAGGACAAACATAGGATAAAATGGAATTGATCCGACAAAGCAAAGAGAGACCGGAATGCCCATCTCTGGCTTTTTGGCCGTCATCAGCCAGTCAATTCCAATTTCAAGGGTTGGAACCCGCGCGATTCGAACTTTAATTCGTACTTTCATTTAATTTCAGGAAGGTAAAAATAATAAGAAATCAAGCCGCACATCTGGATAGCTTACGCCGTAATTCTACCCACGTGGGGCAGGAGATCTAATTTATTGATGTAGCTTAAGCTTAACTTCTTGATGTTGAAACATATAGTCATTAAGCATCATTGAACAATAGCAGGTTGTGGCAGCCTTTCAGGCCCATAACGCATGTACCAACACTTAGAAGTTAAGAACCCAATTAGCCACGTTGAGCTCCACGCAGAAAGAGTGTCCGAGGGCAAATTAGTTTGTTCTAATCATCCTTCGGTCGCAGAGTTATAGAAGGAGCGCACACCATTGAGATCATCCGCATAAATATAAGATTGACAGTGATTAACTGTCGAAGCAAGTAAGAACGGGGCACCTCATCAACGCACATTGAAGGAGACCACTTATAATTGGAGTAGCAATTGAATATGAGGACCCTCTAAGAAATTTTGTTTTCTACTAGATATATACGACCTAATAAGGGCGGTAAAGGGACCACTAAGCCGTCAATCTCTCAATATAATTGAGAACGGTGGGATGCTAAGAAAATCTGACGTTACTATCTTCCTTGGGCAGCACTGCCCAAATAATTTACATAGGCCCCAAACGGAAATGACGTTCGTGTGCAGCTACAATAACGTTGCTGGTTAAAGTGAATTTACTAGCAGTCCATGTTTTTATTTATACTGACGTACTATGGACGCTTCTCCCTGTATTAGGGCTGTCATATTATACTATTTTGCCTTTTTGTCAACTGCGTTCCAC